ATACTATACTTAAATTAGTAAATCGACTGCTCAAATTCTATATGTACTGTAGTTATTGTAACAAACATTTAGTTGTCAGGATCCTGTCAGAATCTCGTCAGCCTATATTCAAATGTATAAAAGTTTCCAAAAGGCCCTGATATATTTGTAGTAATGTAAATGGTATATGATGGTCAGAAAAAAACTTTCACTTAAAACATTAAGTTTATATATTTTAAAATAGGCTGTCATAATTAGACATATCCCTTGTCAAGTATACGATAAGAGTATATGCTCTGAAAGATTTAAAGATTTTGTTGCTTTTAATTATCTCCTTCAATAGGTATGTTTTTGTAAATTAATGAAATACTCTGATCTAACTATTACTGGAACATATTTGCAAAATAAACATAATACGGGAATTAACCCATTAACGAGCAATGTGCCCTGTGCACCCTACTTTGCTCTTTTGCTTTATCAGAACCTGGACGATTTTACTTTTCAAGGGAAGAGTCTTGCAGGTTAATTGGTTAATTGAACAGCATCTTTTAACATAAAAATACTATTTTTCTAAGTTCTGTATGTACTGCATTACACACTCTGTCTCTAGCTATAAATTATTTTGTAAACATTCGTCCAAGAAAGAAAGAACTTCTATATATATGTCTACCCCATGATACAGAGAGTCTCATAGAGGGTCAATCAATCTCCGTAGCTCCTCGGTCTCATTTATTGGTAATTCAGTTTCGGGCACCACAACAACAATTTCATCTGTTGCTTCAGCACTTGGACAGGGACTGTCCCAGTCAACGCCATAGTGTGCAAAGTTCTAGATAATAAACATATACCTGTTAAGCCAGTTAAGGTTAACATACATATAAAGAGAGACTATGTTGATGCAATGTATTAAATATATTACATTTGGGGAAATGGAGTAGAACTGACAAATCGGATATGACATTAGTCACTAGATAGTACGGTACATGTATGTATATACATACCGGATTCGCTTGTCACGACATCTTTGTTCGCTGTTTACAAGCAATGGTTACCAACAACGGTTTACTCATTTAGTATTTTTTGTACATTTTTTTGTGTCACTGTCGTTAAAAATTTCCTCAGCACTTCACTAGCTGTTAAATTTTACCCACGACGATAGTAGTCCGGTACATTGTAATCGGGCCTTAAGTATGTACAAGAAGTGTAAAAAGCGAGTGTAAAGAATATTTACCTGATCAGAAAATTCTTCGGCAATTCTTCTGCTAGGGTTCAAGAGCATTCCTCTAAACCACATTTGCTCTGGGGATTGGTTTTGCTCGGTACTAATGGGTCCTCTGTTGTGACCCTCTGTGAATAACATCAAGTGTCGGTTGATTATTGGGAGGAACACATAATGCAACACTGCCAGATGTTGTTCATTGGATGGATTAAGAATGCCTTCGTCTTCCATATGGTAAAACAAGTTGTAGAAAAGATAAGTGCAACCAGTGAATACATCTCTCCACAACCTTTCTATTTGTTGGTTGTGAACACTTTTACCAGCAATGTGGCTTCCCCTATCTGGACCTCTTAAAGGGTGAGACAGCATGTACCATGCAACTTTGGTGTTCTCACCTCCCTTATCTGAGCGAACACGAGATGGAAGCCCAAATTTATCAACTGCTGATTTGAAGCACTGGAGAACAGTCGAAGCCCGGTTATTTGTAGAGCATGCAAGAAATACTACCATTCGGGAGAAGCCATCTATTCCACCATGAATTACAAATCGCCAACTATAAAATGAATTGACATGTTTTTCCTTGTAGATACCTAATGTTAGCAACTTAGCATTCAACTCATTTGAGTAAATACTATTCTTAGGCCTCAGTGGTTACTACTGGAGAGACTGACATACTTTCATAAACAAGGTTTGGTGTCATCTTTGCTGTGCTGTCATTGGGAAATGACAGAGTTACAAATATGAAATTTCAGCCCTCTGTCCCATTTCTAGTGACAAAAGACATGAATTATGTCCCATATAGTCTGTGACTGTTTTTTTTAAAATTTTTTTATAGAATAATTACATACAATCACAGTTATTTTAATAGATGGTTTGGAGACTCGATGAAAGTACAATATAACTCATTAACTATGTTATTGTCCAGCTTTATGCAAGAATTTGGTCCTATCTCGTCACATGTGTATTGTATTTTCGCTCAAAAATAACCAATAACAAGTTTGTGCTTGAGTTATTCATCCGTAACTTGAACAAATGCTCAATACATTGCTATTGGTTGTGCGGGAAAAAATACAATACACACGTGACGAGATAGGCCCAAGGTTCTTGCATAAACTGAAACCAACATAGTTAATGAATTATATTGTACTTTCATTGAGTCTCCAAACCATGTATTCTATTAACTGTGATACAATCCAATCAGTGACAAAATATGTGGACCAATAGGGTTAAATGAATTACATTACACCCCCTCCCCCCCCGTTCCCTTCCCCCTGTTCAATGTTGTTATACTTCTTTTTAACCAATTGAGCTGCAATGCACCCCAGTGCACCCTACTTATTTTTTTTACTTGTCTAACCCCAGACGATATCACTCGTCATTGGGGAAGCTCTGCAGCTTAATGGGTTAACAAAAAATCTGACAATGTCTCCAGTTAACCCATTGAGCTGCAATGCGCCCTACTTATTTTTTGACTTGTCTAACGGCAGACGATTTTACTCGTCAATGGGGTAGCTCTGCGGCGTAATGGGTTATTATTGAAATCAGTAGACCGCGACACCTCCACTTTTTTTTGCTGGCCGTATGCTAAGAAAGAGACAACACATAATGTATTCAAACGTGATCACAATGTGTTGCAGACAGGGTGTGAAAAACTGCAAGTTTCAATTTGACAGTCTGACAGTTAAACTAATTAAATGGGTTTCTAATTTTATTGTCCAATCAGGTGCGTAGTTAGGAATTTATTTTCAGAAATTCGTTATTCAACTGTCAATTTATTCAAATGTAAACAAGGTCACAGACGTCCAAACGAAGGTCAAGCAACAAAATATATGAAGTATATTCGTTTAATTTGAAATATTCACCACGATTTCTCCACTTTAGAGTCCCATAAATACTTATGATCTACGTTTTACCGAAAATGTGATCTCGATCTTGTAAAATAGTGGCATACACTTCGGCAGAATGCGCACCCATATATTTTTCAAGAGTGGTTGAACATCTAGCTGGTCATGTGGTACATATGAGATATCACGTTAAGACTTTGAAACAGAATGCGCTGGATGCCAAAAAAGTGGGGGTGTCGCGGTCAACTGATTTCAATAATAAATTATATTTTGTGGTCCGTACAATATTGTGATGTTGATAATTATACTGCAACGTTATGCAACATTGGAACTGGGGTTTTAGCTGTGAATTTGCACAAATAAATTCAAGTGTCCCACATTTCAATGTCACTGATTGTAGGTGATTATTTTAAATTCTCCACGGTGCTTGGTTGCGATTGCTGATTGGTATAACGATTTAGATTATAACGTGATAATCATTAATCACCTGAAGAGTTTTTCAAAATAGAGAAAACCATTTTTCCCAAAGTAAGCAATGAACAAAGGTTTATTTTGTATTTTTTCCAACTGATAACCTATCATGCATGAGTCAATTCGTATTGTTACCATCTCCCCGGGCAAATTTTGATGTTTAGTTACCAGGCTCCTATTTACTTCTCATCTTTGCTAGATCCCCGCCCTATACCCCCGGGGATAATATCCCTTTGACAATTTCCCACCCCTGGGATATTTTCTTTTGCAATGCACGTCCCCACAGGGGGGGGGGGGGTGTGGTAACAGTATTAATTGGCTTATGAATATATTATAGATTAGTTATTGTTATCATGTGATCATTTTGTATCTAGCAATAAACAGAATCAACATGTACAACCTTGTAGCAAGTCTGCTGCAGACCTGTAACAAGCTGGGAACAAGCAATGCAAGCACATCCTGTTAACAAGTTGTTGGAACAGCATTGCTACAAGTACAGCTATTAATAACATACCGTATTAATTTGTGGTTTCCATCAATATGCCATAAGGAAAGAGGGCCAGCAACATTGTAACGTCTTCGCCGAATGATGCTCATTTCAAGTGCTCGTAGGAGGATTCCTTCAGGATCGACTCTGCGCATGGATTGACGGATATGGGCCTGCTGCATGTAGACACCCCTCGCCCTCAGAAGACCAGTTACTCTCTTGCAACCAACGTTTGGAAAATCTCTTTGAATGTCAGTTATTAACGCATCTAATTGTTGATCGGATAAATAAGTATAAACACTTGAGCAGACAGCCCGATGTCACGCGCATACGCCTTTCAACTGTACGTTTACTGGTGCTGAATAATTTTGCAATTTCATCAATCTTGAATTTTTTTTCCAATAAAAATTCCAGCTGTTCGAATGGTATTTGAAGTCGTGGTCTGTCCCGCTCTCCGGAAAAAACTCTCTCAACTGCAAGTGCTTGGAAGTGTTGCTCCCCAAGTTTTGTTGTAGGCATTCCTTAGCCATTTGTATGCAGTTAACAACCCTCCCATCAGCAATATCCGAATCAACGTACCTCACTACCGTGCTATATATCCAGTCAAGACGATACTGTACGTTATCAATTTCATTTTCATCAATGTTTTCTGACTGTAGTTGCCTCAGTACAGAATGCAACACATTAGTAAGCTCGATTCTTGTTTGACTACGATTTTCGTCAACTCTCAAGCTTTCCACCATATTTGATTTACTCTATGATATTGCTATGTTCCAGACATCTCGCTTCTGGTTGTCAAATTTTGGTTTCTGAGTGCCATGCCGAATGAAATTTCAAGCTGAATGAAATTTCAAGCCGAATGAAATTTCAAGCCGAATGAAATTTCACAAATATTGAATTCACGCCGAATGAAATTGCACGGCGAATATTGATTTCACTCCGAATGAAACATGAATATCACTCCGAATGAAATCGCAAGCCGAATGAATTTTCACTCCGAATGAAATTCACCATAATTGCAAGTAGGCATTGCATAATTGCACAACAAAATGCAATAAATGCAATTTTGAATAGCATGATTCAATAAAAGAATTTTGGCGGATATCACACCTCAATCACAAGCCAACCAATTCATCCCCCACTTTGCTATTTGCTATTTTATTACTTTATTCGCATGACCTATTTATAAGGTATTGCTAACTTTTCAATAATATATTACATAAAATGTGATTAAGAATATTAATAGGTCTTATCTATTTTACTTTACTTTACAAAATAACAAAATGTTGTAGGATATCTGACTATTTATTTACAATATCAAAGATTTGAATTATGAAATAATTAATTATCATATATATAAGTATCAAATTTTAAGAAAAGTTAACTACCTCGAATGTAACCTAGTTTCAAGGCATTCATTACGTTTCTTAAAACAAACGAAAAGAAATTTTGAGAAAATGTTGAGCAAATCGGGATTATTCGATGACAATATGTTTAGTAAGTCTTGAAAGGTCTTCCAATGTCTTCATTAGATCTGGCGAACTATAAAAGTCTAGAATTGTCTAATTATTTGGGTAAAAGCTAGCTATAGCCTTGAAAGGTCTTGCAATATATCTTCGTTTAATTAATCGTTAGAACTGTTGCCGACCTATAAATAACTTCAACGTTCTCAATGACAATATATGACATATAGTCATGGTCCATAGAGGAAAGACTATAGAGGCCTGGCTATAGACATTGTCCTAAAGCGATCGTAAAAGGTTGATGATCGCGCAAGATTTTGCCCTGAATGGAATTTATGGAAATCCATCTTTGACTTTGTCTAAAATAATTAAATATGTATGCATACACATATATAAACACATATATAAGACTGCGGTCAAAGACTTATAATGGTCAAGTGAAAACTGTCTACATGTATATGCAAATAGGAACAAAATTATTAATAATTAAAGTTTTTGCCACTTAATTAACGTAACACTTGTAGGACATTTTAGTGAGAAGTGTGACAGAAATTGAACATTACCTATATAGACTATAGTGCTTAAAAAAATCAGATTTATGTGGTTATTGTGATTATAGCAAATTTTGCTATGCGAAGCAAACTGAACAAATTAGGTTTGACAGCCCAATGACTCTTGTGCCAACCACGCTATTTTTTTCTGTGCTATTGTTTCCCACGCTACTGTATCAATTACAAGCCAACCGATTCATCCCCCACTTTGCTATTTGCTATTTTATTACTTTATTTGCATGACCTATTTACAAGGTATTGCTAACTTTTCAATAATATATCACATAAAATGTGATTTAAGAATATTAATAGGTCTTATCTATTTTACTTTACTTTACAAAATAACAAAATGTTGTAGGATATCTGACTATTTATTTACAATATCAAAGATTTGAATTATGAAATAATTAATTATCATATATATAAGTATCAAATTTTAAGAAAAGTTAACTACCTCGAATGTAACCTAGATTCAAGGCATTCATTACGTTTCTTAAAACAAACGAAAAGAAATTTTGAGAAAATGTTGAGCAAATCGGGATTATTCGATGACAATATGTTTAGTAAGTCATCAGTTGTTTGGAAATTTATCGGTACATTAAAGTCGTTTGTAGAGTATTTGTTAAATCATTTCTTTGTTGTTCATAATATTTACATGAAACTCATCTTCTATTTCATTGGTGTCGCAGTACTCGCATAAACGTTGTTCACGGGGAGTTTTGTTGTATCGTCCGCATTCAATGTGTAGTTTATGGGAACTTGTTCGAAATTTACTGAGTAGTCTATGTGACGGGTTCTTTATAGACCTAAGGTATTCTTCTAGTTTAAATTCTGATTTGAAAGAGGATAGGAAAGATAATTTAGAGGAATTAGTCAGTGTGTATTTCCAAAAAGTTGTGTATTTATTTTTGATATTATTAATATATCTGGTTAATTGATCTTGTGTGATGGGTTCTAATTCATTCAAGTCAAAGGATGCGTCATAGGACTTAAGTATTTTCATTACATTTAGATAAAAAACTTACATTGTCGAACAATGTTATTGAAGACGTTGTATCACATGATCACTTAGGTGTGACTCTCACTTGTAATCTTCCCTGGAGTTCTCATATTTGGAAAATTTACCAAAAAGCTTCAAAGAAAATTAATATGATAAAAGTCTTAAATTTTTAAATTAAGAAGGTCGACTCTTGAATCACTTTATAGATAACTTGTGCATTCAACCTTAGAATATGCAGATGTTGTGTGGGATGGCTGTTCCGACTCTGGTTCTGATCTTCTTGAAAGTCTTCAGTTTGAAGCGGCTAGGATTATTACTGGTGCTATGAAGAGTACGTATACGGAAAATTTGCTTTGTGAGACGGCATGGGTTACTTTAAAAAATAGACACAAAAATCACAAGTTGATTATGATGTACAAGCTTTTAAATAACTTAACTCCATCATTTATCTCAATTATGTCCTATAAGTAACAATAGTAGGACGAATTATAACCTCCGTACTAATTATAACCTTAGTGTACCTCCCTCGCGTACTGAACGGCACAAAAAATCATTTCTACCCTCCGTGATTAGATTATGGAATTTACTGCCTAAAAATCTTGCTGTGTTTAAGAAAAGATTAATTAAATGGGACAAGTATGCTGTTCGTGATCGCCTATATTATTTTGGTAATCGTTATCTAGCTGTACTCCATACAAGATTAAGGTTAGGCAACAGTGCGCTAAATTACAACTTATATCGCATGAATTGTGTTCCCTCGCCACTGTGTGGTTGTGGAATATCAGATGAGACAGAAATAATAACCGCTCAGAAATAACCTAACAGAAAACGCATTCAGAACACGTCCCGAACGTGTTCCTAAATGCTTCTACTTGCGTTCCATTTGTGTTCCTTTCGTGTTCCAATTGCGTTTCATTTGCGTTCCACTGAGTACTGGGACGCATCTGTGGTTCGCGTTCCGGTTACACTCGTATCGAAACCGGACACACTTGCACATTTTGTGTTCACACTATAAAGCATGAAACCGTGTTTTTATATTTGCTTTCCACTAATGAGTTGCGAATCAAAATAACCTTGGTCAATACTCCGGGACAAAACAAAACACAATCTAGCTAATTTCCTCTATTTGCCATCAGGTTTCTGATGACCATGTAGAAAATGCTTGCGCTTTTTCAAAATAAATACAGTTTTTAAGGAATTTTAATGACTTTAACAGTATTGTCTAAAATTATGTAAATTATTATCAAAAGTTATTCACTCACACATGTGTTGAATGGGCTATTGAATTTCATTTCCAAAAGAGGTAGCCAAAATATCACAGTGTTTGGACTTTATAAAATCATCATCAGACTAAACCCGGTTTACACTATCAAAGTTTCTGTGATCACAGGAGGAGTTTTAAATAGATAAACTAATACCGGAAAAAGCACAAGGTAAGGAGGTTGTCCAGTTTATTAGCTATCCTGTAGACTAGAAATACAGATAATTTCAATCTTAACTCATGCAACAATAGTACGCAAGCGATGTTTATTGCTGATATGCGTGTATTCGCGTGCCACAGTAAGGAAACATCATAAGTTGGTACGATTGTTGGTAAATGTATATTGCAAGCATGCACTTATTATAGAATCGACCCGAGATGTTGGGCAGTCAAAAATGTCACAGTCACTAGTATTTTGACTAATTGTAAATGTTTATACTTTATAACCATGTGTAATGACTTAGTTATGCATAAAAAAATTACACAAGTGGCTACAATTTAAAATAAACTGTAGCAAGTATGCTACATGATACGCTTGCTTGAGCACGTTTGATAGCGATCTATTTGATTGCCGCCTGTGAGCAGTTTAAGTCGTCTGAGTTTTAGTCGGAACTATTTTCATCCCATGTTGTGAAATTGCTGAAATGTAGCCAGTGCACAACAGAGACTTTTCTAGCTCGGATTGAAAGACACAATTGCGATTTGAAGCATTTTTGGCTATTTGATTTGTGTGTTTGTGGTTACATATACAGTTGAAACAAACATGCTAAACAAAGCCATTAAGACGATTTTTAAAAATTATTTGTGATTACATGCTGCCCGGACTGTGTCGAGTTTCAGTCTGGGTCAAACTGGGCTGGTATTTCAGCCCGGGATGAAGCTTGATATTAATTGTTCATAGTTATCAACTGTCAAAACCTGCAGTAGCTCATGTTTCATTCGGTGTCGGGATTTTCCGATGCGAGAATGCGGTTTTTAGCCAAAGTGGGGAACGTGGTTCCAACCACGTTCCAACTGCGTTTGCAATGCGAACGCAGTGTTAGGTTATTTCTGAGCAGCACTGTATGTGTATAAACATTTGAAAAATACATAATAGTTAGTTTTTAACGAACTGTTCTGTATTTTTTCTCCTACTCTCCTTTCTTTTTAAAAAAATCTTATATTAAATTACATAAATTTCCCCTAGCTTCTTTTGAAACAAATGTAAAGTTTATATATTGTTTAAATAAAAAAAAATTACGAGCCAACACAATTTTCCCTGAGCCGACGGTGCGAAGTGCCGTGCGAGGGTACTAATTCCCCCCCGGCTATTTACACCCGGGGAAACGAAAGCATTAGGGGAGTCAAAAGTTCATCAATTACCGCGGGCGTGGGTGACCAACGGTGTTGAGTGGGTGGTCATCCTCACTGATCTCAAAAATATGGTGGACTGTCACAAACAGTGGACACTGATTGGTCCAATTTAAAGTTTGCATTATAACAACTGCATGACAACGGCGAAATAGCAAACATTTCTTGATTTGATGATTGATAAATTTCTTGCAAATATATTTTGTAAATTTCAAAAGCTCTCTTAGAAAGAAACTGCGAATGAATCAGCTAAAAGAAGGGAGCTGACGTTAATGAAGGTAAGTTTGTTTTAAATATTGATTTTATAATGGATGGCCTTTGCGTGTATATGAAACAACTAAACAAGACAGCACATAATTTCAGTGTATCTTTAATATTGATTCCCTTTTTTATGATATTTAATTTTTTAAATAAAAAAGAAAGCAAAGTTATTTGCAAGCGAGGGTTTTAAATCATTTTAGTTTTATAAAGAACACTAGTGACTTTAAAACGTTTTGTGGTTGAATTTTACCTTAAATTGAGGCTTATATTACGTATAATAACATACCTAACATATATATGTTGGGAAATTAATAATTTTGTAATTAAAAGTGATATTTTTAGGCGATTTTTCATTTGTAAGATATTCTTAAAAAATTATTGTGTTACCATGACTACTTTAGATACTTCATGTTCGGAAAATACAATGGTTTTGTCAGCAAGGCGAGGGTTTCTGCATGCATGTATTTTCTAGTATAATTATTATTTACAATTATCAGTTTGATACAAGATTGACATCCATACTTGGCATTACGATGTATTTACCAACTAAACATTGTCATAGCACAAATGTTCAACAGTCTATAGACAGTATCTAATCTGTCTCCACTTTATTTGGAGGAAAGGCCAAAAAGGATTGTCCAGGGCAATCTTCAAAATGCATGCTTCAAAATGCATATGCTAATTTACAACAGTCTGTTTCATCAGTAAAGAATCATCAGGCGGTATGACAAGTTTCGAAAAGTTTCGAATGACGTGAAGCATTTATTCGTCTGACGCATTTATATCTTTAAAAGATCACAAAGAAAATTTCGAAAACTATCTAAAGTGCCGACTAATTAATCTCGCAAAAAGCGAATCCGGAAAACTAAGTAATGTTACTTTAGATAAAATCAATTCCAATTTAAGACAAACTAAATTCAAATCAATGGAGAAATACGCAACAAGTAATTTCATGGTTTGGCAATATAAACGATAAAGACAGGCAGAGTTTTATTTCGGTTGACATTGTGGACAGGGGTTGGGAGCCCCAAGCCCCGAGGAGATGATACTGAAGGTTATACATCTTCGGCCTCAAGACTTGCTCCCTCCCTTTGACAACGATATTCAGGTTGCCACCAAGGGTTACTCTGGAATTGGGGTTAAGGGGAGTCAGGATAGGGTACGGGTTGATGGTAATGTTGTGTGGGTATGGTGGTAAGGGTTTGATAAGGTATAACAACAGGGTACGGCGGGAAATGGAGACATCCTATTCATTGGGTGGGAATCCAATGGTTGGTGGAATTCTGGTTAAGCAGCTCTCTGTCAATGATAGGGAATGTAATCCAACTTTTGCTTCATCCCAAACGAGATTATTCTGACAAAGTCAACACCCGAGTCGATCAGTGCGGCGAGAAGGACCATGGTGGGCACTGGTTTATTCCAACCACGAATCAGGTGATCAGCCTGCTCTCCTGACAGTAGGACGACGTGTCCATGTGCGGAGAAATAGTTGCACAACCTTTGTTTCAGCCCATTAGAGAACAGCGTCAATATGATTACAGGGTTCCAGCATATTACCAGAAAGTTCCATGCTTCACAGAGCCAGCTTCGCCCCTTATCTGTTGACAGCTGTACTGTGTTGCCAGTAAAGGTATTGGTTGTATTTGCAGTTTCCTTGTGATTAAGGGCGACATTACATGCAACGTGGTCAATGTTGATATCTTCAATACTTGCATTTTCAGCTACAACTTGAGGATTAGCATCTGCTACTAGGGAGCGAGACATGTTCTGCATAAAGAAAAGCATATATTAGGATTTATAACGATTTTTTAGGATTTTTTTTATTTTTCGAATTTTTTTCCCCGATATTTTTTTCGAATTTCATGCAGTTTTTATTAAGAGCGTGCGTCTCTAAAAACCGCCCACTGACTTGGGGTTCGAAAAATAAATTTCTTCGAAACTTTTACCGTGAACTACATTTACTTTAACAACAAACAAATGCTGTTTGGAATTTTGAAAATATATTTAGTTTCAAAGTTTTAGTGATTTTTTGGTCTCGCACCGTCGCAGGAGAAATTCGCCGGCTAATTAAACGAAAAAAATGGGCTGAATTTAAGTAAACATAATTTCAAAAGTTTTTGTTCAAAATGTCTGATATTCACACCCAGTACCGGAAAACTATCGTAATTTCATCTAAACTAACTTAGGTTTTCAATTACAGAGTATTTGCGACAATATTTAGCGACAAAGAGCCCCATGTCAAAATACGGCTTTCAAATCCTACTATTTTCTATGCTAAATTTCTTAAAAGTGGGACCTAATTACATACAGTGACTAGTGTAGTTGGAAAAAGGACACTTTGAAGTACTAAAAACCGTAATAAACTCTTCTGCAAACGCGATTTGAACAATTGAGAGCGTTTGAAATTTGATACTATTTATGGCCTTTTGTTTACATTAGAATGTTGCTGAATCAGATGTCTGAGTTCATGTCACTGCTAAAAATGCACTGTAGTTCTGCCAAATAACATTTTCTCATTGCCCTTCTCTCAAAACAAATCGATAATGTCATAGTACTAAATTAGATTTCGTTGTTTATCTTACAAGATATTTAAATATATGATATTAAACATATAAAATTGAATCACGGTAAACACTTGCAAAAAATGTCGCCCCTGACTCGTCCCCAGTCGTCTCTGTGAGGACGCGCGAAACGGGCACGTGCGAAACGAGGGAGACGACTGGCAGATCCTGTGTCGAAACTCTGGAATATCAGTCGAAACTCTGGTCAAGGCTATTTTTGTTATATTACGCGAGTTTCAACCGCTTATATTAATTCGGAATTTAACAACATGAAATACCTACATTTTAGCGGGAGCTTTAGTATTGCAGCTATAATATTGAGCGAGATTTGTTGCCTAAACGAGGGTGTCAAAATTGCCGTCGGAATATAGTTTGAATATATTATGTCTGGTTTTAGGCACGAGTTTCAACCGCTTATATTAATTCGACATTTAACGACGTTCATCCCTAACGCAGATGGTTTCAATGCTTGTGAAAATGCCTACATTTTAGCGGGAACTATATTCCTGTAGCTACAATATTGAGCGAGAAAACGTTGTCTAAACGAGGGGGTCAAAATCACACAATGTAAACAAAATTTGAAAACAGAATATATAATTAGAAAGTTTAATGCAACATAAACATGACATTTATTCGACAATATCTGTGCGAATATTACAGGTATAATAATTTTACACATATTGTTAGATAGCTGGTGAAATCAGCTACATTTTGGTACGAGCTATAATATTGTAGCTAGAATATTTAGCGAGAATTCGTTGCCTAATCGAGGGTGTAAAAATTGCCGTCGGAAAACACATTCCAGTCGGAATTTATTATGTCTGGTTTTAGGCACGAATTTCAACCGCTTATATTAATTAGAAATTTAACGACATAAACCCCTAACGCGGATGATTTGAACGCTTGTGAAAAAGCTTACATTTTAGTGGGATTTATATTTAGGTTAGTAAAAATTTCTCCAAGAAAACGTTCGCAACAAACTGTTGTCATGCCACGGAAATTCAAAAATATAATTTTCAAAGTCTCGCCTTGGCATGTAAACACACGCATTTGAAACTTCCAAAATATATAGTTACAAACATTTAACAGGCACAGTTGGAAACGTGTCTTATGAAACAGTCTATTTTCAAAATAATGATTTTCTTGAAAATCCGCCATTGATTTTGTGTCCATCTTGAAAACAGGATATGCCAGTCGTCTCCCTCGCTTCTCCCTTCCCTTCCACCCCTGCGCGCGCTTTCCAATTCGCACGTGCTCACAGAGACGACTGGGGACGAGTCAGATGTCGCCCAGGGAAAACCCAACAAAAGCTTTTGCAGTTGTGACGTAATACCGGAAAGGTCTATTTTGTTTATTATGTACTGTACAACCAGTCAATGTCACGCAAACATTGAAACACAAGTATACTTTTAGGATCCTATCATGCACTGAAATTGGCACTTAGCGCATTTTAATTTAGGTGGTTTTTAAAAAAATGTAGAACTGAGTAAAGGCAAGGTTAAATGAGACAATTTTCTGCAATGCATTTTTAGAGTAGGTGTATGTTAAATCGGACGCACACAAAGACGTTATTCTTTAACAAATACCTGACGTTCTCCTGTCATTTTCAGCGATTTTTCGTACTTGATAGTAGTCGGATAAGATCAGATTTTTTTGATCCGCTGTTCTGCCCGAGTTTTACCGCAAACGTTGCAGCGGCCCTTTACAACATCACATGCGTTCGGCTTTACAAAGCACTACTTGCAAAAACTAGTCAAGGATGAAGCCACATCCGAAATATTTAAATTTATACTTCAACTAATTCATTTTGTCAACTTATTTTGTTTTCATAAAACACATCGTTCAAAAAGCGCTGTGGAATAGTACTATAGTAGCAATGAATCGTGTATAATACCCCTGATAATATCAGTAACGTCAATGGTTGCAAGCGCATCTTTCTACCATGCTCGTGATCTTCTGAATTAAGTCCTTTTTTTTGTCCCTTGACTTAAATTGGATATCAAAGTGTTCGCACAACTCTTTCAGCATGGTAACTTTGAATATGTTCAGTTTGCTCTCACTGTACAGTTCGCACAGGTTGTAGACGTCATAAACAATAGGATGGACAACATTAATTGCTTTCTGGATATCTTGAAGAAGATTCTCGTTGATACAGGCTTCCTCTTCGTCGTTATCCATCGGAAAATCCTCGATTGCTTCCGTTGGTAAGGCCAATCCTTTGCGTCTGGCTTTTGCAAGTCGGGAAAAAACCCTTGGATTTGTGTCTTGGTTAGCCATTCGTCCCTTTTAAAACGTCTCTCGCCATCGTGTTCTCTTGCCGATCTCATATCTAAAAACCTGCAGTGTTCCCCGAAACTCTGGTGTAAGTCTAAATCATCAAGCGAGGAGCAGACGTAGTTGCACTTCGCTTCGGTACAGTAAAATAATCCACTCTCTTTCTCCGAATCTTCATTTTCTCTTGTTTTTACAAGCTGCGTCGATGGTTGCCTGACAGTAAACTTCTTTTCAACAAGAAGACTTGTGTCTTCCTGGTCAGTAGTAAAAATTTCAGTGTATTTGAATTTCTTTCCTTTACCGATACCATGTGCTTGCCATACTCTTACACCACCATCCTCATATCTAAAGTTATGAAAAGCACTAAAGTGAGTCAATTTCTTAACTTTAAGTTGACTCACAGATTGATTGATTTGGTTCACCAAGGACGAGGTGCCTTTCACAGGATGAGCTGTGTGGGCAGCATGTATATCAGATGCACTAAGGATGTCATTTCCTTCATTGCAGTATGTATGGATAGAAGACTTTAGAGGACAAATTATCCGATCGCAGATGTCCTTTCCTTGTTGAGGCTCTGAGTAGTCGTATTGTGTGACGGCAATCCCTTTACGATCTCCCACATCCCTTAAGGCAGCGATTAACTCGCTATTGTGGTAGCAGCCCGCCTCATCAGACCGAAAATACACGGTTTTCACAGAAGGATAAATGGACTTGATGTTGCCAAGAAGATCCTCAGCAATGGAAACCACGGCAAACCAATCTTGTGTACAGGAGTCGAAAAGATGTGCAAAGGATAGTACGTTGATGTGCTTCTTATCAGCGCCCTTCGAAACAACAGTGCTAATGTGCCAACTCAGTCATCTCTTTCCAAACCAGTCTGATTGTTTCTCTCTGTGTTTGCATTGAACATATTTCATGGCCCAATCCATGACTACTAGGATAGATGTTTCGTCCAGGGTGTGGATTACTTCTTGCTTTGCTTCTTCCTGATTGACAGATCTGAGAATATGGGCCTTCCACTGGTATATGCAACTCTGGGCATGCTTGAAATCATAAAGGTGATCTTCTCGCTGTTCTTCATTGTACTTGCTACTCTTAGAATAAGTTATTTTCTCATTCAGCTCTGCAAGAAGCAAGTCCAAAGCTTCGCACTGTTCACAAACCAGCAGATGTTCATGATCGCAACAAGATTTGAAATCGTCATCAGTTGGATCGCTTAGAGCAAAGAGCCGACAATGGTCTGTGCATCCGCTAGTTCTATCATGACAATCCACCCGATAGTCAGTCTTTAAATATTGTTTACGTTTGTCCAATTTTGTGTTTAATGCTTGGCACCAACTCTTGTCCACTCCAAACAGCTCCAGTTGCTGAACAATAGTCTTCAAAGTTCCAAATGTTGTAGATCCTTCGGCAGCAGTATTGTCTAATCCCTGCAGCGATTTTCGTTGGCTAGCCTCTCTTACCTCTAAAATACGGTATAGAGTCCTTCTACTTAGAGACTCGTATCCGATGTTTTCGCAGTGCTGGTTATAATGCATAACCATAGTTGATCTGGTTACTGTACGAACTACGTTAGGCATAGAAATAGTTTCCCCATTGTCCAGTTTTAAAGTTCTCATCCCATAGGCAACATCTTGATGGAAATAGGGTCGATTTAAGAAATCCACGAAATGATCTACTTTGGTCATGTCTAAATTGATTCGATGCTGCACTTTTTTTTGCGACGGAGCCTCCAGGACCACACTTCTGAGCATGCGCCCTGGCTCTTTTTATTTGCCATTGACTCAATCTAGCGTAGGGTTCGTGGATTCTTTGGAGTGTCTTAACAGGATACTCGTGAGCATAAATGCTTAAAATCTGTATTTTTAAGTTCGCGTTGGTGCTTTCGAAAATGCATTTATCAGTGCAATGAGGTCGCTCGATGGTTGAACTGGCTGGGGATCAAGCTTCGTCGGCAGAGATTTTAGCAAGTCCTCTCCATTGTTTGGAGTAATAATATTGCAAACAAGCCTACAAGCTTCAGAAGCTCTTTCAATGCAAACATTCTTCTCCTTCTCTGATGCCGTCTCCCAGTTAATAATTTGATGGGTTAATAGAGGGGGTTTTCTACACCTGCAGCAACGGACAAACACACCATGGCTTGATTGTACTTCACGTCCAATTGGGTACTATCGGTATCTTCTTCCTCCGTATCACTACTGTCGTCCCGCCCTCTCCAACATCCCGGAGTCCACATCGGATCCGTTTTCTCGCCAACAGGTGTATTGAATTGATTGCTGTCATCTTCCCGAGTAACAACTCTATGAGAACAATCAATACTAGCATCATACATTATCAATCAAAACTTTGATGCTGACTTTTGTGTATTTTCATTTAACTACAAATACAATAGTGAAAATTTAAACTTACAGTGTCTCCGCTTCAGAAGCAGCATGTTTCACTTTAATTTCCTTCTTGAGTACATTTTTCCGAAAAAAAGGGCATCTAAAAATTTTTCCAGGAAAAGTTGGGGGGGGGGGGTAGGTCTCAAAATTATTTTCCGGACATACCAAAAAATTTTTTCCAGAAATATCATATTTTTTCCTAAATATGAAAAAAATTTTCCGGATATACCAAAAAATTTTCCCGATATATCATACTTTTTCCGGAAATGAAAAAAATTTTCCTGAAAATAACATAAATTCAAGTTTTCAAAACTGCCCTTTGGCAAAAAAAGGCAATTATATTTTTCACGCAAGAAAAGGGCACTTTGCTCCCGGAAAAAGGGCACTTGGCAAAACTTGGGGGCTGCCCCCTGGCCCCCCCCCCGGTTCCTACGCCCCTGGCCACAAATCACGATACCCAACCACGCTACTGCACTTTATAGCAGTCTTTATTAATAGTTGTTTTCCTTTTTTGGGAGACAGATTTCCATCTAATCCCTTCCAGTGGAATGATAAATTAAAGACAAAAAACTCCTTTACCAAAAATAGGCGAGTTATATTGCCTATAACAAATTAACAATGTGATTACATATCTCTAATTTGGACTATATTTATCACTTACGAGAACCAACTTGGGCAAGTACTCCACAAATTTGGAATACATCCCGTGATACTTCCAGGTTGATGACATGTTTTCCTTTGCAGCGATGTGCAGGCGCAGTGTGAGAAGGATGTTGGCATGTTAGACGAGGTCTCCAGTATCGGCCCAAGTTGTACCGGTGGTTTGGGCATACTGTCATAGAGCGTATTTCTTCGCTTGATATATCATGTAAAAATCCCGCTCTTCACAAAATCAGCTCGACAAACGGCAACTTGAAAGATGGTTTTGAATGTTCTCATCACAATCTTCCAAGCGTCTAATACCCGATTCACCCCGACACCCTCCGCATACAGTTGAACCGATAGCATTAAAAGAACACAGATTATCCATAGTAACTCTCAACTTTTGCAACAATATAATTTAAAGATCAACTTCGCAGAAAGGTTCCAGAACTAAACTTTGCACATTTATAGACTATTCGAACTAAGCAATAGTTTAGTATGCTACAACGCAAACTCTAAATATAGCATGTGCCACATATAGAATTCGCGCTGCATGCGGGCTTTTCCCCGAGTAGCATATTAATTTAGTCAAGTTGTTTATTTTAATTAACATGCCTATTATTTTAAATCCCTTGGAACCACTTACGGTGGACATAAAGAAATATAGATTAGTACAATGGTGCTATAAACTTATTTGAAGGAAAATTTATTTGGCAGAACTACAGCGAATTTTTAGTAGTGACATGAACTCAGACGTCTGACCTCAGCAACATTCTAATGTCAACAAAAGGCCATAAATAGTATCAAATTTTAAACGCTCTCAATTGTTCAAATCGCGTTTGCAGACAAGTCTTATTACGGTTTTTAGTACTTCAAAGTGTCCTTTTTCCAACTATACTAGTCACTGTATGTAATTAGGTCCCACTTTTAAGAAATTCAGCGTAGAAAATAGTAGGATCTGAAAGCCGTATTTTGACATGGGGCTCTTTGTCGCTAAATATTGTCGCAAATGCTCTGTAATTGAAAACCTAAGTTAGTTTAGATGAAATTACAATAGTTTTCCGGTACTGGGTGTGAATATCAGAAATTTTGAACAAAAACGTTTGAAATTATGTTTATTTAAATTCAGTCCATTTTTTCGTTTAATTAGCTGGCGAATTTCTCCCGCGACGGTGCGAGACCAAAAAATCGCTAAAACTTTGAAACTAAATATATTTTCAAAATTCCAAACAGCATTTGTTTGTTGTTAAAGTAAATGTAGTTCACGGTAAAAGTTTGAAAGAAATTTATTTTTCGAGCCCCAAGTCAGTGGGCGGTTTTTAGAGACACACGCTCTTAAGAAGAGGTGCATTTTTTAATGTCAAATTACATGAAATTGGATATGCATAATTCATGACCTCTTAAGTTCGTTTTGTAATAAAAAACCATTCCATTAGTGACTCGGGTTACTTAAAAGCATATATTGATGAAAAATTATAACAAACTTACCTTTTGAAGGGTCAAATGAAGTGATTTTACACGGAGTTTTTTCTGTAAAAACGTGTTAACTTTCGACTATAGGAGGCACTTTTATGGCTTTAGGGGGTCATATGGGGGATAATAGGTGATTTACCGCAAAATTGTTTTCAATTATTTTCAAGACTTTTCGGAAATTTTTTCCACTTTTCATGCCCCTTCTTGTTCTGCTTATCGATCATCTTACCATAGGCATAACCTAAAAACGCATAGTTTAGGTTCGGCTCAGAGGAGAAATGCAAAAAACATGGCACTTAGAAGGGGACATATGAGGGATAACAGGTGATTTACCGCAAAAATTGTTTCAATTCTGCTTGCACTGGTTATGGAAATTATATAATACACACTCTCTCCTCAAAGCAGTGAAAAACACCATAAAAAGAAAAACACCATAAAAAGAAAAACACTTTAAACATACATCAGGTAAGACTTTTAGCTCAATTTTCTCATGTTTTTGTTGGAAAAGCAACAGTTTTTAGCCAAAATTATTTTGCGTGCCAATGTAGGCTGCTATAAAATGGCAGGCACGTGTTCTCTTTTGAAGTCTGGCTCTAAGCCTTCATAAAGACTATTGTGTAGAAATATTATCTATATGCTCACATGAAAAAGATAACCTAATATTCAGGTATTCCACATAGCTATAAAAGGGTGAAATAAGAACTTTCATCTTTGGTTGTTTGTCAGGCATGAGAAACCACATTAGTGCCATTTTGTTGCGTGTGCTTTTTATAAAATAAACACCTCAAAACCATAAACTTTTAGTTCAGAAAATTACAAAGTTTCCCATAGACATTATTCAAAATGTTCTAGTGAAGCGATTTCATGATAAATAAGCGAGCAATGGGCCCAAAAGGATGGTTAAATTATGTTTTTGTTGTTAGGACTTCAGTTTCATGGCTTCCCGCAAAGGAAGCCATTTCAGAGAGAAGCAACAACAATGGCAAACAACTGTCGTGACCTATTTTGATAACTTTTCCTTCTGATTCAACATGTAGTTACTAGAAAATGAGGTTGGATCAACATTACTATCTGCCTTATCGATTTAAAGTTTTATGGGGATATAAAATACAAAAAGCATTTTAAAAGCTTTAGAACTCAAGTGCAGACTTTTTGAGAATTTGCATGCGGCAAGCAAGCGCATTAATTCAATACACTTATTTCAAACCATGAGTTGTCATTTTAAGACTAAATTAATGAAAATAGATAACAGTGATTTTGGAATATCCTACTTATTTAGTGTAGTTTAATACTCGAAGATTCTTGCCAAATAGGGCACATACGCACACAGTAATTTAATCTGGTGTCGTTTGAAACATACTTTAGGTAAAATAACAACTTGAACAAGAAGACCAACAACGGAGTCACGAAAACAGTCTAAATTGTGCCCAAATTTGCATAAACAGTTCGACGTCTAAAAAGATAACTCTAAACTAGATTCAACCAACATTAATGCAGTCGAATTTTGTGAGTGTTTGATCGCATATTTCTACTCAAAATTACCCTTTAAAAAATCGTATCTGCTCACTTGTGTTCCGTGTTCATCTTTCTTGTGATTTCCGACTTTTATTTTTAATAAAGTTTGGAGAAATCGTCATCTTTTTGGTTGAGAATCTTGCGCA